AAGAGAATGAACTAGTGATGTGTTATTTTGGATGACTCTCAAAATAATGATGCTGATTGAAATATACTGGAGAAAAAGCATACATTTGTTTCCAATTACATAAGATTCTAGTAAATGCAAACTTATGTGTAGTGATAGAAAACAGGTTGCTTGGGGATGTGAGAAGCAGTGATGCAGGGAAGTACCACAGAGGTCACATGGTAACTTTAAAGGTGATGTACATGTTAATTATATTGATTGTGATGATGGTTGCAGAGGTATATATATGTGTCAAAGCTTATTAGAGCAAACACTTTATGTCTGTTCATCACACTTTATTAAAGCTATTCAAGTAACTGTGATTAAATTAATGAAAGGGCCTGTATGGGATAGTGAATAATTGCTATGTTTTAAAAAATGTATCTCAATCTCAAAGTAATTATAATAGGGAGTAATATCAAATTGTTGTCTTTAAGGAGTTTGCAGTTTTTCACACCATTAAGACTGATTTTATCTAAAATAGAGGAAATTGAGGTTTATGAGAGAACCAATCCTTAGGCTAATAAAATCCTTTCTTGAAAAAACAGGAGAAGAGGTTGTTTATGGTTGAAAGAAATAGCACTATATTTATGTTAGAGCTGACATTTCAACCATGCCTTGAAAAAATTTACGTGATTTCAATAGAGGAAGATGAGAAATTGTAGCTAGAAGGAAGAAGAGAACAAAGGCAGAGTTGAGAGAGGTCATGGAACATGTTTTAGGGAATAGCGATCATGTAGTTAAAGCAGTTGTTTCTTCTTTGACCCCCACAAATGGAACTAGTCAATTTTGATTCTGCATTTTCTGATAATTTACTTCATACCTGTCACATTTTATTTCATCATGTGTATCTCTGGCTTTATCTTTGGGCACTTTCCTATTAGAAAGGACAACATTTGGCTCATTCTAAATGTTCAGTAGTAAGTGCTATGCAGCTTAAAAAAATAGGAAAGTCTGGGAGTCTGTTATAATCAGAGTAGGCAGGTGGAATTTGTATGGGTCCTATAAAAACACAGGTTTTGGATGAGATGGAGTGTAGAGAGAGGGGCATTTCATAGACAGAGGACAGTGAAGTGTGTGGTGGTTAGGGGAGGATCTAGTACAGAGTACTGAGAATTGAGGCTTACAGGAAAAAGTTTTTATTAGCGGTGATTATTTATCCCAACAAAGCAGAGACGTATGCACTATATTTAAAGTGGAAAAAAAACAATTAGATATTTCCTCTAGTTTCCCCCTTGACTATTAAGTAGAGCTCTAATCAACCAGAAGAAGCAAATAATTTTCTTGTCATTTTATTTCACTTCATTTCACTTATTTTTGAAGCAAAGAATTTTCTAAGTTATTAAAAATATATCAGATACTCTTTTTGGGGGAAATACATTTATTTTATTTTCTCTGTAGTTAAGATGTATGAACATTTTGTCAATATGGAATTAAGAATAATATCCTGGCTGGTGTGACTCAATGGATTGAGCATGGGTCTATGAATCAAAGGGTCATGAGTTTTATTACCAGTCAGAGCACACGCCTGGATTGCAGGCCAGGTTCCCAGCAAGGGATGCATGAGAGACAACCACACATTGATGTTACTTTTCCTCTCTTTCTCCTTCTCTTCCCCTCTCTCTAAAAATAAATAAATAAATAAATATTTAACAAGAGAGAATAATATCTTATTGTAATTGGCATTACATTCTATTTCCATTATGAACCTGTATTGGGACAGGGATTAAATAGGACTGAGAAAAATGAACTTGGATGTCATCTTTTAGGCAGTACTTGTGCTTAATTTAGCTTTGTGGTATTCTAGAAAGAACTCTGGTTTTACAGTCAGAGCACCAGGATTTAATTCCACTTTACTTTAAAACTTGTTCAGTGACCTTTAACAACTTAATTCCCCTATCAGATCCTCTTTCACCATTTATTAAATTGGGGTAAAAAATAATGACTTAAAATCATTAATATATGAATTACACACACACACACACAAAAGTATGAGAAAACATGTAGCACCTTGCTGGTGCTCAGTAGTTATTAACCATCATATTCTTTATTTTACAGAGAAAATATAATGCTATGTACTTGATAGATATTGAGACACTTGCTGCATGAATCAATAAATGAATGAGAACCTTTGAAAAACAACATCTTAAAAAATATTATAGTTTTCAACTTAATGTATCTAGAAACTGATGGTGAAAATAATCTTTATCCTGGTCATCTTTACATGTTTGAGTAAAAGGACAATGATAAAACTTTACCTTTTCTTAGGTTATATGCCTTAAAGATCCATGAGCTAACTGTGGTAGGGCTCTACCAAGACATGATCTGCTTGGGGATAAAGGTGGCTGATCTCTCAAAGGAGAAGGGCCAGGAGCCTATTCCTCAATAGGCTTTTATTGGGTTCAATTTGCATAGGAATACATGTAAAGCTCCTCAATCATTGTTAGGGAGTAATGATCAAACAATAGATGACATTCAAAGAACTATGAGGGCTTATTCTGTGTCAGGGTCAGTTAGCTAAAGGGCCATAAAACTTCGGTAAACAAACTTATTTCCTGCTTGGACACTTATCAGAAAATTGAGGGCATTCTTAGCAAAGCAGGTTTCACAGGATTTTATGCATTCTTTCTTAGGCCTGATTGCCCTGGGGAACTCCCTGTTCCTGCTCAGAGCTGTACCGCCCTCCAGCATTGTTTCAGGCTTCAGTCAGGTGGGGGAAGTAAGGCAGCCAAGAGATTAGGAGACTTCTTGCAGATAGAGTGAGGACTTCAGCTGTGTAAAGTCAGGGGGTGAGGATCCATCACCCCCTTTTTCTTCCCCCAAGTCCTTCCCTGAGGGCCCCTTTGTCACCACGCCTGTCTTAGGTTGTCCCTCCCTTGAGGAATCTTACTGGTTATTGGCTAACGAGTCATCCACCTGGGGCCAAGCAGAGTGAAGTAAAAGAGGGTAGAGGCGGCACCCCTGCCAGGGAGATAACTTTTGTCTCCTTAATGGCTTATGGTCCCAAAGTCTCTTACTCAGTCTTAGCCATGGGGGCTTACAGCTTCTGAAACCAGGCAGGGTAGTTCCCAACAGCTAACTAGCCAGTTTTTTTTTTAACTTTAATCATTTAACTTCCGTTTTAATTCAGTTTAATTTTAGATGGGCCTGGTTCCATGTAAGAGCTGAGTCTCCAAGCCTTTGTAGCCCCTCCCTGTTGTAGCAGTGCACATTGTGACCCCTCCGCCGTCTCCAGTGACTTATCTCCTGTCTAGACAGAAATATCTCTCATAGTTCAGAGAATATTCTGGAAGAATATTCATTGTTTACAAAATTATATTTGCCTTATAATTTAGAAAAGGACATTCAAACATGATAAAATATGAAAAAGGCATATCTTAAGAATGGAATTTGGGGTGTTAAAACTGTATTCTGAAGGTAAATACAATTTTAAAGAGTAACCTATACTAATTTGATTTAAGTAAAAAATATTGAAAAGAATAAGAATTATTTAAATTAGCATAGCGTTTATAGTTTTGTAAAATGCTTAAAACTAGGGACATTCAGCTACAATTTGGATTATACTATTATTTTACATAGCAAACTGTTCGGGTGGTTTAGAACAAAACTATCAAGTAAACTTCAACATTGTATAATAAAATTTGAATTAGATTCAAATTTATTGTAAGTGCATTTTTAAAGACTTTATTGAAATAGATGCCACTTTGCAAAAAGAAAGAACATAAAGTGTCAACTTTCTTTTCTGGGGGATGGAGGAGGAAGTGAGTATCACAGTTTCATGCTTCCAAGGTCTTGAAGGCCTGGTCTTGATGCTTAGTGTCCGCTGTTAGTGTTTCACTGGAGGTGTTCCACAAATATCTGTGCAAGTTAGGAAGGTTAAATTTATTTTCTATATTGTAATTCAGAAGTTAAAAGCTAAAATCTAAGAAAATCTAAGGGTGTTTTTAAATTAAGGTCTAATTGTTCAAAAGCTATTTGTGATATGTTCTGGAAAGGCAAATTTTTTACTTTTTTTTTTCAGGAAACTCATTTGAACATAATACATAAACAAATTATAGAGCATGTTAGATGGTGATAAGTTCCACTTCAAAAAAAGAAAAGAAGTAGGGGAGGAGAAGTCACATGTGTTGGAAGGAGAAAAGGAAAGAGGGTATAACTTTAAATGGTGTGGTCAAGAGAGGCCTTGCTCTGAAGGTTACTTTTGAGTCGTCTTGAGGGCAGTTAAAAGAAAAACAACCCGTCCTGGCTGGTGTAGCTCAGTGGATTGAGCGCGGGCCTGCGAACCAGACAATCGCGGTTCGATTCCCAGTCAGGGCACATACTGGGGTTGCAGGCCAGTTCCCTGCAGGCCAGTTCCCAGCAGGGGACACATGAAAGGCAACCATACATTGATGTTTCTCTCCCTCTCTCCTTCCTTTCCTCTCTAAGATAAATAAATAAAATCTTAAAAAAAAAAAAAAAAAAGAACTTTAAAAAAAAAAAAGAAAAACAACCCAAGGATTAGAGTAATTGTAGAATTGGAAATTTAAAATTTAATTTGTCTATTTTGTTACATATGTTACTTCTCAGCAAGAGGATGCAGATGAGGGTAAAGTCAGCTTTTGTTTCTTTCTGCTCTTTCCCATTAGTTTAAACAAGGAAGGGTAGTTCTGCTCTATTTTCTCATTTCAACTTAACTAAAACACATGTGTTGCATGGGATTTTTGCCCATCAATAATAAGAACGAGGTTTACTTTGAGAATTTCTTCTTGACAGCCCAAACATGTAGCATAATTTCATAGAATTCATTGTTTTAGAAATGTAACAATTCATATATTGCCAGCTTTAGAAAATTCTTAAGTCATCTCAGTTTGAGCAACAAATCAACTTACTGTTCCTTTGGGTCATTGAATTATAGGTTCAGATAAGAAAACAGTTTATTTTCTTAATATTCTTGATTGATTTTATCCTGATTTAAAAATAAATGTGTTTGTTTCTTACAGGTTGTGTTTCTGGCATCTGCCTATGCCAGTCCTCAACTCACCGAGGAGAGCTGTTCAGCCGTGGCTGCAGTCACACACTACCTGTATCTTTGCCAGTTTAGCTGGATGCTCATTCAGGTTGGTACCTTGTTTCTTCATCCCCACTCCCACCCCCAGCCCTTTCAGCTTTCTAATGAATCTGGGAGGAGTGATCTTACTTGATATTTTTTATACCAAAATGGAAGTAATTCTATCACTGCATTCCCAGCAGATTAATTTGAGAAAAACTTTATAAGCTATACAGCACTAGAGAGCATACTGAATTTGAGGAAATGAAAAGAACTTTAGTAAGGTTGAATATAAAGGTGTGGTAAGAAATGAGGCTTGTGATGTGGGCTGTCCTGTAAGGCACAAGTAGAAATTTGAATTTTTTTTGTAGGGAAAGTCATAGAATTATTTTAAGCAAAGGTGTGACATGATAAGGTTTAGATTTTAGAAAGATCTCCCTGTTTGTGGTGAATTGGGAACAGGAAAGAGTTGACATGAAGCCAAATTAAGTAGCATTAGATATAGGTGTATTGAGGGGAGATGTATTGAGCATATAGATGTATTGGTGATGTGAACCAGGGTGGTAGGGAAGTAAAGGGAAGTGGTCACCTTTTGAGGCTGTTTGTTTTGCTTTGCTTTTTTGAAGTAGAACTATAGGAAGTAGAGTTTGGTTATGAAGCCTGACGAAGGTGGAATGAAGGATGTTTCCCAAGTTCCTGGCATGAGTGGATGGGTAGATGATGGTGCCCTGAACTGAAATAATGATCACTAGAGATGGGGGAAAGATGATGAGTTTTTTTTTTAAGATCTCCAGTGGGAACTTTGAGAGAAGTAGGATAAACAGGGCTAAATCTCAGAACAGAGGCCCATGCTATAGAAATACATTAGCAAATTGTTGAGTTAGTGTTGGAAAATGGAGCCATTGTCTTGGAAGCAATTGCTTTGGTAGAGAGTGTAGGGTGAGACCCTAGGAGCCTTAGCTCACTCTCCTGAGGAACTACTAACTGTTAAGGAGACATTTGAACTCTTCTTTTCTGACTAAAATCCCAAATTCTGTCTATTGCCTTATGCTGATTTGCTTGATAAAGGGGCTAATGTGAGAAGTGGGTCCACATCAGTAGAATTGATGTCACTTATGACTCAACTAAAATGCTGACTTTGATAATGATTTCTACATAATGGTATTGTTAAATATTTCATGTGATAGAAATAGTTTCATCTGTGTTTTTGACTTTGTATGAGATCAATTTTATATAAACAGATGTGTTCAGGCACTTGCGTATTTTTTTCTTGTTGAATAAGAAAGATGTGGGATTTCCACCACAGAGCATTATCAAAACATTTGCATCATACAGGTACTGGAAGAAGAGAAATGGCAAGAAATTGAAAACTTATTCAGAAATATAATAAAAGAAAAATTCCCTAATTCAATGAAAGGAATAGACATACAAGTCCAGGAAGCAAGGGAGTCCCAAACAAGGTGGACACAAAGAGGATTACACCAAGGCACATCATAATTAAAATGCCAAAGTTTAAAGATAAAGAAAGAATATTAAAAGCACCAAGAAAAAAGCCAGTAGTTACCTACATAGGAGTTCCTATAAGAATGTTTGCTGATTTCTCAAAAGAAATTTTGCAGGCTAGAAGGGACTCACAAGAAATTTTCAAAGTCATGAAAATAAAGGACCTACAACCTATATTACTTTGTCCAGCAAAGCTATCATTTAGAATTGAAGAGCAGATCAAGTGCTCCCCAGACAAGGTAAAGCTAAAGGAGTTCATCATCACCAAGCCATTATTATATGAAATGTTACAAGGACTTACATAAGAAACAGATTAAAATTATGAACATTAAAATGACAATAAATTCACAACTATCAACACTTGAATCTTAAAAACAAACTAAGCAAACAAGCAGAATGGAAACAAAATCACAGACATGGAGATCATTTTGATGGTTATCAGGGAGATCATTTTGATGATGGGAGAATGGGGGGGAGAATGGGGGAAAAGGTGCAGGAATTAAGTACAAATTAGTAGGTACAGAATAGGCAAGGGATTGTTAAGAACAGTATAGAAAATGGAGTAGCCAAAGAACTTATATGCATGACTAATGGACATGAACTAAGGAGGGGGATTGCCAGAGGGAATGGGGGGGAACCAGGTGGAGGGGGGCAAAGGGGGAAAATTGGGACAACTGTAATAGCATAATCAATAAAATATATTTTTTAGAAAGAAAGGCTTTACTAATGTCTAAATTCAAGAAAATAGAAAGAAAGAAGAAAGAAAAAAGGAGGGAAGAAAGGAAGGAAGACAGACAGGTGGTATTACTATGAGAGAATAACAGACAAAAGGGGTATTTTTCCCAGGTATGATATAGTTGTAGGTATTGGAGAAGAAAAGAGCTAAACTATTTAGTTAATAGAACTAATTGGAGCAATTGGAGCCCTGAATCTGGGTTCGAAATTTGGCTCAACCACTATTTTGGCAACCTTAGTCAAGTTACTGACATTCTCTAAGTTTTGGTTCTAAATCTGCATATGGGGATAGTGATTCCTTTCTCATAGAATTTTTATTTTATAACTTTTGAGCTGCTCTAATTACGGAAAGTTGTGATGTTCTCTAATTTCCCTAACAATTAAAAAGTAAAAATAATTCTAAACTATACAACATAAAATTTAAATATCTGCTGAAATTAAAATACCCTTTGTTAGAGTCTGAGTTTTCAAAATTCTTTAGAAATTTAAACTGAGCTTTTTAATTTGTGTCCTCTGCACATTGTTATTTATCTGCCTGGACTGAGGTCCCCATTGGTGTGCTGAATGTCTTCACCCAGGTCCCTGACCTATTCAGTTTTTTCATGAGTGATTTGGATGAAAACACAGGAAACTGCCCTGTCAGGTTGGCAGTGATAAAGAGCTGAAAAGATAGCTCAAAAAGCAAGCGTTAGGGGTACAGGTAGAACCAATATAGAGAAACCGTAGTATGGCAGAAGAAAACTAGAATGGAAGAGCCATTCTCTGATGGGAATTACTGTAAACAAGTTGAGATTTTAATTTAGCACAAACTAGCAATCAAATGTTTGATTGGATTGCTTAAAACACAGCAACTACAGTTAACTACAAAACAACACAGGCCAAAGTTACATTAGTAACAGTAGAGGCAGCTCGGGAGCAGTGGTTGTGTGTAGTCTACAATGCTCAGATTATGTGGGGACCCTTAATCCTTTCATGAATCATTTTTCAGCAGGAGTATTAATCAGCCAATAGGAAGTCAGAAAACAGTGCTATAAGGAACTTCGAGGCAACTGGAGAGAACTAACCTGGGAAAAACTTAGGGAGGTGTCATGGCTGCCTACAAATACAAAATACATTTGGAAGAACCAGAGCAAATGGGTCAAAAACTAGGGAAGCAACTTTGAGTCATGTTAAGAACTTTTATAGCCAATAAAACTGTCAAAGAGTCTGTTTTCAGAAGTAGTGACCATCCAATCACTGAAATATGTTTGAACACGGAAATGACTAATTTTCAAACATGGATTTAGATGGATTTCCTGCTTTAGGGGAGAGTAGAATGGCATATGAAATTTCACCCAATTTAATAGAGATCTGGTGTACTCTATATTTCTTCTTCAAGTCTTAAGTAAATATGATTGTGGCTGATGCACATTTAGTAAACTAATGAGCTTTCTGTATACCTAATGGTTTAGAAAAACTATTTAAAGTGCTAGTGAAGTTCAATGTATTTCAGATGGTACACCACATACTTTTTATGGTTTGTGGTGTGACCACAGGGGAAAATTCAATAACTTCTGAGTCTAGGTAGGTTACTTCTAATGAGTTGCTTTGTGGCTGGAGGTTGTCACTTTACCAGCCTATTTTCCCATATATAAAGTAATCTGCTAAAATCTTTTCTTAGAACTAGAATTCATTTTTAAACATCATGTAAAAGATTACATTACTATTAATCCAAACTTGTTAGTCAAAAAGTATTGAAAAAATTGAGAGAATATTAATATTTTATTGATTCTAGTTCTTTTTTAGCAATATGAGAGAATTTGATATATGTATGTTGATGCATAGCTTATACTGGCAAAAATTAAACATTAACTTTTAATTATTGGGCTAAGCATGTCAGAATTATTGTATGTTTTGACCTACATTGTATATTCAATCTTAGAATAAATGCATTTAAAGCCTGTATAATGAATAATTGTTTTACTTATGTAGCACATACCTTTAATACAGTATAATAAAATTGGATTATATTTTATAGTAAAGAAAAATTTTGTTAGGCCCTGGCTGGCGTGGTTCTGTGGATTGAGTGCCAGCCTGCAAATCAAAGGGTTGCAGATTCGATTCCCAGTCAGGGCACATGCCCGTGTTGTGGGTCAGGCCCCCAGTAGGGGGTGCATGAGAGGCAACACTGATGGTTCTCTCCCTCTACCTTCTCCCTCCCTTCCCCTCTCTCTAAAAATAGATAAATAAATAAATAAAATCTTTTTAAAAATTGTATTGGTAAACAAGTTATATAACTTCTCCTAGCCTAGTTTTCCTTATCTGAATAATCAGGGTTTGTAACAACGGTACCTCTTTGAGAGTTGTTGAAAGATAAAATAGATTAACACATGGAAAAAGCTTAGAATGTTCCTGGCACAGACTGCACACTCCATATACATATTAGTTAAGCAAATATGTGACTGATATTTCATAGATTTTGGCACATGTTGAATACTCTACTTTTCCAATATCATTAACACTTTTCTGTAACAAAGTAGAATTAGTTTGATACAGTGGAAAGAATTAAAGTGAGGCAGACACTAAGTAGGGGCAAAGCCTTAGCAAGCTGTGTAACCTCTAACCATTTTACTAAATAAGTGCACGTGTGGTTGATGGCAGGCTTCACGCCTGGTGGCCTGACTCTGTTTCTTTAGGCCTCCCCTTCATTTGACAGGAAAGTCCTACTGTGCATGACGGGAATAGAGTAACTGATTATTTTGCTTATAACTTTTTAAGCAAACTCACAGATTCCCTTTTTGGCAGTGGAAACTGAATTATCCTCTTGTTTGCTCTTCATGTAAGATTACTCCA